CAGCCGATGTCATAGTCCTTATTAATAGTGAAGGTATACATAATAAACACATAAAACATAATCACATATTGTGGAACTCGCATTCGCGGTGCACAAAATATTATTGGTACATCATTGATGCAGTTATGGTGAACGCAAATACTCATGGTTAGGTATGGTATGGTATTTCTTTTATACTTCTTACAATACCATATATTATACCAGTATAATACCTTAAAGGATCTTGCAGTACTTTAAATGATTGGAAATAGAATACAGGTTGTAGAACTATTGTATATTATTATTACAAGAACTTATTTTAAGCATGCTATCAAACTCGACATTTCTAAATAGTGGTTAGAAATAATTTTAATTTGAAAGAATTGCAAACCATAGTAAATTATATTCTTAAATATCAAATTAATTTTCTAATAACATTAACTTATACTCTTATATATGTATATACAACATGTATACAATAATTGTATAACCATGTTTATAACTATGTTTATAATACCACTGTATAGTGAAAACTCACATCTTTACTGGTGGTGTAACGTAAATAAAAACCTGCACGAAGAAAATTGAGAATCGGCTTTTTTTAGAGATTTATTTTTATCGGACACGTAGGGAAAACTTTGGATCGATTGACATTTTATTATCAATATACTTTCCAGCTGCCGTGTGCTTCGGGGTAGAGTATTCGATATGCCTTCTGCACAGGCCTTAGGACTCCGTCCATTTAATATAAATTCAGTGACGAAGTGACCAAGAAGGCAAAGGAATAGGATCGCCACCCGAGTACGCGACTGTGCCGATGCAATTCAAGTTAATAACTAATATTAACTATCTGTGCAATGGAGTTAGACTTAAACGTATCATGTCTATGGCATGGACTCCGATAAATACGGGTCGTTCATGTACGTACCTATGCCAGAGATCCTCAAAATGGTTTAGTCTTGACAAAAATATCTGGACGATCACACCAGTATAGGTGGAATCCACGAAGGTTAGGTAAATATTTTCAACAGCAACAAAAAAAATAAAACAACTATTAATTATTGTTTTAAAATTAATCACAAATTATTTTGGTTATTATAGGACCTGTTGCGGCACATAAATTAAACCAATTTGTCAGTATATAGTATATATATGGCTAATGGCGATGAAAATGGCAAAAACTTTATAATATTCTAAAACTCATTTGACTTTTATTGTAGGTGCTATATTGCATAGCAATGAAAATAATCCATTATTAAACATGAAGTATGGGTACCTATACAGTTTTTTTACCACTTTTTTACTATTCAAATAGATAACTAAATACTATATAAATATAAGCCAGTGAGGCAGTGCCATAACCTATATGATTTAAGTGAAAGTATAGTAAAATCGAATTATTGACTATGTTGATGAGTTCAATCAACAGCTACATGTATTTTTATTATCAATTATGTATACAACAATTTAAGCCAGCGATATTTTTACCTGATTAAAAACAAAATGCAACTCGTTTTTATATCCAAACATTCAAATTGTGATGTTGTAACTAATTTATCATAATTATAGTTTGAAGATAATATTTATAAAAATTGTAATTAAAACAAAAAATGTGACCATTTATCACACCACATTATAATGAGTAATGGCGTTTAATCAATATTTTTTAATAATTAAAAGTAAAGTTATTTGGTAAAAAGGGAAGCTCGGTGCAGCTTCTACCAGTTAGATTGTATATTTTAATAACGAAAACAATCATCTATACACGGCGAATACACTTACGTACCTTCATACTTAATATACCTACAATATATATTATAATGATAAATAATAAAATCCCACTCTCACGTCAAACAAGAATATTATCTATCTTTAAATCAAATTGTATACGGTTTAATTATATAGCTATATCATCGATGCGTTATTATATTGTGTTCGTGTTCGTGAATGTTCTGTACTCAATGCTGTAACTACACGTAAACGTATTTTTTATTTTTTTATTTTTTAATAATAGTTTTGAAATTGTATTATAAAGTGGGCATAGGGACAAACTTTTTGAAAACCATTCCATGCAGTGGGAATGTTTTTGTCTTAAGAGTTCTCCGATTAATTGACCGGCGATGTTATAATAATTCCATAACTATTTAATTTAATTCATAAATTATACATTTTCGTTGAGCATCTTGTAAGTACTGCGTATTATCCTGCAGTATAGCCTTAAAGTGTTTTCTCGAAAACATCATATTTTTATAATAATTAGACGAATTAGACAAAATCTCGATTCACTGATAAATTAATACTTAAAGCGTAATTGCATAAATAATATGGCGTACTATTTAAATGAAAGTATAAATTCAAATTCGGTTAAAGATCAACTATTTAAGATAAATTGTGTTTTTTTTTATAGACGACTCATACACATAATAAATATTTATTATTTATATACATTTTTTCATCACTTATATTTTATTATAAGCACTGTCTTAACGATGCTTTTTACAGGACCATTGTCGAGTATTTTTAAGGCTAATAAAAATATTTGAGATGCTTACAGTACAAATATGGAATGAAAACAAATTATATCGCTCGAATTGCGTCAGTAAAATTCAACCGAAATCGTGAGTATATATATTCACGATTTTAGCTCAATTCACACGCGCCTTTCCCCCAATCAAACTGGTCCTAAACATATTAAACGTGGTGTACACCCATACACTCTCTCAGTTCTATTTTTGTGTTACCATTATAATCGTCGAAAACTCTAAATAGGTGCTAAATTATTATATAAATAATAAATATTTTTAGAAACGTGTCAAAATAAAATATATTTCTCTTTTTACAAATCCGATATATTTAATTTTATCTTTCATCATAGTAGGTATAATATTTTTTATTTAAATGACGAATATTTTTAGAAACTTTTCTAAAAAATTGTTCTTTTCTTACAAATCCGATATATTTAATTGTATCTTTCTTCATAGTGCATATAATATATTTGATAAAAATAACATTTTTCTTATGTAATTTTCGAGAAAAAAGCATATGAACTATAAACAATAATTTTATCAAGAGCATTGATCAGGGTAACAAATAATTTTTTTTTATAAATATTATATGAAAGTGGTATATCTTATTAGACTAATATAAAATAAGGTAACATCATACTGGGGTAGCTATTTCTGTTTCCGTGTAGACTTAGTCTTAAAGGTAATATTATAATAATATTATGGTTAAATAACTGCATATATGATTAATACTGAAATATGTGCAATTAATGAATATAATTTGATGGAAATCAAAGGAAGACGTTAATAATACTACACTATCGGCGAATTAAATGTATACATTTACAGAAGCACATTATACAAGATAATTAGTTAAATAAACAAGAAATAAATAGTGTTTGAGTATATACTATATATTACGTAAATTGAAAGTATAAATCTTGAAATATTCAAAATGATGTAAGTACTAATTGTAAAAGTAAATATAAATTTTAAAGATCTATAATCTAAGTTATAACTTATATTACACTTATAATTACAGCAGTCCCCATTTATTTCGTATTTTGTCAGAATTTATTCAATGTTTACAGTATTAAGACATTGTATTTAATGTAAGTAAATATAGATAGATATGTCGGAAAAACTCAGAAGTTTAAATATGCTATAACAATTTTTTTTAATGGGTTCGTCATGTGATAAAAAAATCAAGTATTAGTGAGTAATAATTTTGGTAATAATTGAAAACCCGAATTTCGTTTGAATAATTTAACGAAAATGTTTCAACTCGACAGCCTATAATATTTGCAAGCATATGAATATAATTTCTAAATTAAATGCATTAAATACGAATTAAATTAATGAAGTATATTATCAAATAATTAATTGATTTTGGTTAAGATTTATTTATTAAGAATTATTTAATTGATTTAGATATCATACATGCATATTTTTAAATGTTATTCAAAATTATCTATAACAAAAATAAGGAAACACTAAATTTATTTAAATTTTAAATTTTAAGCGTTAGGTAATTTGTACACATTACACACACAATAAAAAAACCTACCATATAGGTATCAATAAAATTACAGACGAATATATTTTTTTTCATCTTGGTAATAAACGATTTCAAAATGAGAAAATCATAAATCTCCGACTTAATTTACTGGGCTAATATTTCCTGCGAAAAATAAAACATTTCCATTATAATTTCACCGCATTTTACACACAATATTTTACTAACCCTTCTGCTCTAATTTAAGTTATATTTTACGAGAAAATTTTCATTACGTAGTTACTTTGAATTAACAAGGTGATTCGTTCCAAAACAACCCCACCCTTGGGGATATTTAACTTTAACATCTGACTGACGTACCATTTTCACCATATTTTTTTTATGTATTATAACTTTGCAAAATTATTATTACTCAAGTGAATTATTCAAATAAGGTGTTTCGTTGTTTCTTACAGGATGAATAAAAATATGAAATGATATATAACTATCGTAATGTTATGCTCTTATACTTGGTACCTAATTAAAAATATTATATCTAATGCATAATATGTAAATTATTTAATATTAATTTATACTTTTACATTTTATTTACATTTTTTATTTATCAACATTTTGATAATTCTGAATAAAATATTGCACAAATTACATGTATCTCTATACCCATAAAATATAAAACACGATAATTAAATTAAATAGAAACTAAAATTTAACATTAGGATATCTATAAACTGAATAATTAAAGTATAGTAATATTGTTGATATTATATGATTACTAGTTATGACTACCATAATATATACCAACTGTTAATTTTGATGTTTATACTAAATAAGTACGTATTGTTTGTAATAATTTATTTACCAAAGTCAAAAATATTGAAGTTGGCAAATCCTTGTAGATTAAATAATAAACTAAATGTTACTACAACAACTCTTAAGATTTTAAAGTTTCACCTTCTGATAAATTAAATTACACAAAGCTGAGCTATTCGATAAAAAAAAAAATGAAGGACTTATTGGAGGAGGCGATTCAGAGGAAGTTGTGCAACAAGAAGAAAAATGTAAAATATGGTGGTCCTGATAAAGACAATTTAAAATCTTCGCTGCAGACTTGTAATAATAAATATAGAAAGCAGCTGAATAAAGTTGCTTTTTTGTCTGGGTTGCCCAGGTTTGACGTGAAGAAAAACGATACGTTAGGCCCAGGTCGGAAAAAAAACAATTGTTATTCCATAATAATTTTATATAAAACAATTTTTTTTAAAGTTTACTTTATGAGTAAACTTAATTTATTTTTGTAGACAAAATACTATAGTTATATCGGTTGCAAATAATTTATAGTTTATATTTTATTCTATGACTATATTTAAATATTTTATATTATTAGTTATACATACTATATTCATATTACTTTTTCCATTTTATTAAAATGTTTTTACTTATTTATTGAAAAATAAGTGAATTAATTACACTTGATTAAATATTTAAATGATTAAATTCAACTATGTAATCATTAAATTTAAAGATAAGGAACTATATCCGTTGCAAATATGGTTTATACTTTATTGTATGACTATTTTGAAAACTGTTCATATTATTTTTTACATTTTCTTTAAATTATTTTTATTTATTTATTGCAAAAAACAACTGCATTAATTGTTATTGATCAATTATTTAAATAGTTTAATGCAAGTATAATATATTTACTATAATATACAACTTGAATATACATGTAATGTTTAGAAAATGCAATAAAAGTGTTCGATGAAGTACCTACACTAAATATATGTTTGTTGATAAATTATGTTTTTGAATATTTTAATCAACACATTTATTACGTTGTTACCATGTTAGGATGTGAACATGTATCTGTTTGACAGGTATTCATTATTAACTAAACTGTTCAAATTAGATACAAATTAGAATTTCTATATTTATTACTGAATTTACTAAAAAACCAAAATGTCGTGATGTTTGTAATTTCAATATTATAAATTGTTATAACCCATAATCATTACAGTCAATATTGATCATAATGGTGATAAATAATAATGGTTATTACTTATTTCAATGATTTAAAAATTAAAAAAATACCGCATTAGTAATGTCTTTAAGATATTAGATTTATTTGATATGGACTGATTGGTAATGAAAATAAGAGAAATGCGAAGACTGGTAAATTTGCTTTAATGTATCTGGACTTGTGAAGATACCTTAATTTCAATAACAACTAAAAAAAACCCTCACATTAGTGCAATGCCTTATTACGATTGCATTTAGTGAAAAAAATAAATGTCGACCGACACTAACACGATTAATTGTTGTTAGTAATTATTAAGAAGTCTTTGATTTTAAATTTCTGAACAAAACTTGTTTCATAGTATAATGTTGTATAATAAAGTAATATTATTTTAAACGTTATGTAGGTATATATAACATAAGTTTTCTGAAGTGCCAAAGAAAGAAAAGTGGAAAGTTCCCTGCTCAAACACAAATTTTAAAAATAAATTTGAATTTACCACCTTCTATTTACGCAGATGGTTTGAAACATCATATGATTCAGACTCGAGTTGAGAAAAAGATTACTGCTAGAGGACCTTATGATACGTTTACAGGTCAGAAAAATAAAATATAAATACGAATAAACCATATTGACAGAGCATAATTTTTATGTGACTAAAAACGATTTAAGTAATTACAAATTTTAGATATACATGTATAGTTGAATTTGTTAACTAGTTAACTAGTATGAATAGTATGATGTCAACTAAATAAATTATTATGATTTAAACTCATTGTACTATTTCCCTGTGTCCACATAGTCTACTGTCTAGACTAGAATATGTACTTAATCGCAAATCTAGACAATTTAACAACGGATTTAGTAAAGTTAAAATAAAATATGGAAACATTAACCATTCATTAATTGGTGTAGTATGACAAGTAAAATTATTGACGATTACTATTAGGTGTATCAATATGTCAAATTGGGAAATTAGTAAAAATAATAATAATTTTATAACAATATATAAGTCTGATATCAAGGATTACGAGATGTATTTTCATTTATTTGAATATACTATAACAGCCAAGCTATTAATATGAGATGAAGTTAAAACAACGGTTTTATAGTCATCGAAACTAAAAAGTTACGAGTACTACTTGACATGCTAACAGAATAAACTTTATTTTAGTTTAATAGTTTCTATGGTTAGTAATATTACTGGGATGAATAGTATTGCGTCTATATTCATTGCTTGATGATGCTAAGCTAAATTAAATTGATGTTATTTCATTCCACCATTAACTTCGGTTATAAAATGGCGTTTAAATAAATCATCCAAACACAAAATTAATATTTAATCACCATTTATCATTTAACCTATTTATATACTTGAAAATGTCAGAAATTAATAATATATGAGCGAATTCCACGAAATCATTTGAATACGATAAATCAACCAGCTACTTTTTTTATATGTATTATTATTTGTAATCTTATTATTGTCTTGTCGAGTATATAATTAGGCATTCACAGTGATTAATTTACTTTGGCTTATATTATGTTAAATTCCAATATGAATTGTTTTAAATTCAAAAAAATTACATTACAAAAAATTGCATTAATTAAAAATATCGGAGATTAAAAATATTATTTCGAGTTTAATCGCCGAGAACTGTATTAGAATTACAACCATCATAGATTGTTTTTGTAGCTTATGCATACAAAATTCATCGCAGTTGTTTAGAATTTCTACATAAAGTTAAAAATATAAAATAAGATAATATTTTATTTTATGAGTATAAATAAAATAGGAGTGATAGTTAGTATAATAAAATAACATGTGTATATAAATGATAAAACATAAACTCTATCACATTTTTTAACATTTCAAATCATGTACGACGCTGATACATACCTACTATACTAAAATTAAATTTATTTAATCGGTTGTCTTTTTAATTACTTCAGTTTTACTTCTGATGTTTTTTTTAAATATATTTAAATTTGAATAGGACCTAGGGATTCCAGTACTTTGATGGGACTTACTGCAGAAAAAAAATGTTATCTCTTATCAGACAATTGGCCACTTCCCCTCGAGAGCTACGTATCCAGAAGTCGTCACCATCGAACTTATACCAATGTATTCAGACAAGAGTCTCCGAGAAAAAAAATAGATCGCAGTGTGCCGTCATTTTCTTGTGTAAAAATGCCCAACTGGTTATCAAAAAAAACAAATAAGTAAGATACGAATGGTACAGAATATCAAACAATAAATATATTTTTAAATACCTACTGCCATAGGTATAATAGATACGTTTGAGAATTATTGAATTTGAATCAACAATTCTATTTCGTTGAATATTAATAATTACAAATCTTATTCTAAGATAATTTTTTATTAATAGCTTGCATGTTGTTTTTAATTGTAAGTTATTACATTTATCAACCAATGTTTGTACTTCTTATCCAGATATCCATTTAACGGATCACAACGGATCGGCGACAGTTCGAAAATGAGCGAAAATGCACTCATCCCGGGACCGGGACACTACAATGTCGATATTTATAAGCGACGTGCAGAAAATGGACACACTAACGTATTTAAAAGTATTACAGCTCAAAGGTTGGAGACGGTACGCCGAGGCTATGGCATATTTGATTAAATATACATAACTTTTAAAAATCGATTCAGTAATTTACGTTTTTATTATACATTGTTATGATCAGGAAATAATCAAATGTAAACATATGAGTAATAAAGAATAAAAAGGATTTGGGAGTTTAGTTCTTTGTTTTTCCAACTATAGATGGATATAGAAACAACGGTCCACTATATTTAAATATAAGCAAAAAAAAAAAAAAAATAATGGAGAATAGAGACATTTTTATAGTTCGTAGAAGGTAATGACGTAAGTATTAGCCAATATATCTGCTAGGTATACCTCAAAACATGGCCTTGCACTTGAATTAATCAAAACTCCTACAACTCATGAAAAAAATTTAAAAAATCAAACACACGAAACCCATACAACCCAAATGTTTTTTTTAAGCCCCTTTAATAATTAACCAAAATCCGAATAATTTTTATTTTACAATCTTTGTGTGATATATCATTTGTATGTATTTTATATGTTAAGTTCTATTTTGTAGTTAGTTGTTTGCTTAATAATTAAAATTGGAGAACAATTAATTTTAGGTAAATACAATAAATATCTAATAATAAAATCTATAAACATTTTTTGTTATTTCTGGACTACTGAATACAACCTTTATTAACCAATATTAACCTAAATAATAATAGTTATTAACACACAAACGTTAAATAATGTTTTTAGTCCGGTGCTCGAACACCCGAATACATAGCACCCAAACACCGAAACCCAAATAAATTATTCTAGTGAAAAATGCAAAATTCCTTACTTTAAAGTACATCAGCTTGAGCTATCTAACAACAAGACTCAGTGTATGTCTATGTTATAATTTTAGAATTAATATTTTACTAACTAAATCACCTGACCAAAATACAAATCAAAGTATTATATTATCAAACTACCCACAGGAATATTACAGTTTCAACTTGTTCTATTTTTTGGCTGATTTATAGAACAGCTAAATAAACTAATATCTATAACATAGGGCCAAACTATAAAGTTGGAATTGTCCATTACCAAACTAGGAAACAAATTTCGGAAGAAACTTTACAGTACTAAAGTCATTTACGATTTTCAAAATAATATATTAAATAAACGGTAAAGATTTTATTAAAATCAAAGAAATATTTGGATTAAGTTATATATTATGGTCATTTTGTGCATTGAAATCACCAAATGCAACTTTAACCGAAGAATGTTTTGACTGCATTCAAGACTTTAACCAATTAGTTTCTTTGTTGTTACAAATACTCATTAGTTAATATATTGCCAGCGACAATGAAAATATATATTTTTCTACATTAAAACGACTTGAAACACTTGAAACGAACAATCGAAATATTGCAGGTCTAGAATTATAAAATAATTTGACAACGGCCAATATACTCTGAGTATCGATGATACTGTTTATGTTATGGTTATTGATGAAATGGCAAAAACTTCAAAACAACAATCAAGCATAAGTCAGTAAGTTATTATTTTTTTGTATACTATTATTTGCTGACTTATAGGTACATAGGTTATTTTTTTAAAGTTCTTTTTTCATGTAGGTATAGTTATTATTTAAAAGGATAGTTGTATTATGAGAGAAAGTCATAAAATAATTTGCTTTTTCATTAAATGCCCACCTATAATTTAACCCCAGCAATATTCACGATTTGTGAAAATTGTGTAGGTACCTATATATAAATGTGTTCATAATGTATATTATATTATAATGTAAAATGTGTTTTAGATTATTTAATACTATTAAAATCTATCATCGATCTCATCTGGCAGTAACCTTTGGTTAAAGTTCAAAAATAATAACCATCTAAAGTTTAGATAGGAGCGCATAAAGACAATAGATTTTACACGTTGAGATAAAATAACTTTTCCACCGTATTATACCCCCTTCATCTAAACTCTAAATGGTAATAGTTTTTGACCCATTTAGTAGTATTAGATTTTGATACATTAAAATATTGCGTCAGTCAGAATTCGAAACAGTGTAATATATTATACTGAGTATATAGTTTATGTATATTTAAAAGTTTTATGTACCAACACAATAAAACATAGTACCTATATCATTTAATATCCAAAACTAAAACACGTAGAAACATGTCAAAATTAACTTGAAAATAAAATATACTACTGTAAAGTATACTATTATTTATATTAACATATCTATTATTCATTTTATATGTATAATATTCACAATTACACAACCCAAAAAGTTTAAAACTATAAAAAATAATAAAAAGATCTTATTTTCGTTGGGAATATTCTGCAAAAATAAAGATTTTCAGAAATGATTATAATAATTATTTAAATTTGAAAATTACTGTAGAGTGTAGAAAGTCAATGTAAGTGGAAATGGATTTATTTGGTACGATAACCTTTCAGCAGTAGATATTCAAAGAAAAATTATACTATATACACCTACCTATATGAACCTAGGTTTATAATTTGTTGTATTCAAATTGATTGTACTTACTTACAGATAATGTGATTAGTGATGACAATAAATGATTTTGGACTAAGTGACTACAAAGTCTGCCTTAAGGATAATTTGTAAAAATAAATAGAAAACGAAGGAATGTGTACATGTATTAATATATTATATAGATAAACATGAAAGGTCTTTCTGCATAAATCACTGAAATATTAGAAAAATCTTTGAATGATGCTGACATTCTAGCAGTACTTTAACCCATATAGTTAAAGGAGGTACTTCGTGATTGCTGATCTCAGGTATTCCCATGGTTTAATACTTTGGACATAATAACTTTATGGCTAACTTGCTTAAAATGTTTAAATCAAAAATCGATCACCACCAACTGTCTCTCTTGTCACAGAAAATGAGCAAACACGATAAATCATGTTTGGGCATCCAATACAAACTTCAACGTGTATAATCCCTCATCAGTCGCCTGGATTCCATCAGTTCCTAAGGTGTGTCAACAGTCAGTACATACCAATTTATGCGGAAGATTTGAACTCTCATTACACAGAATAGGGGGGTACTTTAGCGACACTGGATATGGTCACAGCCTTAACACATGAGCAAATCTCAACCAACTTTATCGGGTGTTGAGTGCTAAATTCGGGGATACTTTGGAGTCTGATAGATGGGGTGCTAGCCTTTTTCAAAGGTACCTTTGTTTTGTAATAACCTACAAAAATAGCCTTCCTTTCAGCATAAACTATATATTTTCTTTAGAAGTTTCCTTAGAGATAATAGACCATCGTTCGCCGGTCGACATTACTGTATTCCTTCCACAAATTATTACTAAACAAGAGTTATTTCAATGGAAGCTTTGGTTAACTGATTGAAAAACTCAAGAATCCGGCATCGAAGAAATACAAACTGTTTTACGCGAATTCCAGAAAACTATAAATAGTTTGTGATTCTTATTGAAATCGCTACCATAAAAATAATGACTAGCAATCACAGAGAAAACTACATATGCTGTTGGACAAAGTGATTTGAGACTCTGATGCATAAATTTAATCATCATTTAAAAATTGAAATTACATGACAGTAAACCGAACTTAAACGAAAATGGATGAAAGCTGCAAATAAAAATTTTACACTGGGTAAAGATGATCACTGTTGAAGGACTCGGGCGCAGTCAATAAACTTGGAGAGAAACTAATATAAACACGAGTCATGAAATATCAAGAGCATATTTTTAAACAATGAATACCAATAGACACCAAGACATAACAAGCAGTGCATGAAGCATTGCAAGTATAGGATACAGGTACCTAACAACGAGGCACCCAATACCAAAAAGTCAAAGTTCATAGTACCTTAACTTCCAAACAACATGCAGTATGCAGTTATGGTTAAGTAAAAAAATTAAAACTCAAAACAATACGATTGGCAATCTCGCATTGCGCTGAAGAATTGAATACAGATGATTCGATTCTTTGCCATGGCTAAATTTTATAGGGAAACCAGTACTTTAAGATATTGCACCTCCCGTTGCGGTCGACTATGAAATATTCTCTTAAAAAAGTAGATAAGTTGAAGTAAATGTACCAATTTCCAATTTTTAAATGAAATTTAAGTTCATGTTAATGTTACATGTCTTACAAAAACGACGCAATATAACATTTCATGGAATAACATACTCGTGATATATAGGTAGGTATGATATGAAAATCTCTAACATTTTCACGAATAACACATTCGGATGTCGCGCGCTGTACAATAATTAAACGCAATATAACATATACCTATACACACACAATGCTATATGCACATATTTTATTATAATAAACTATTTTAATATACCGACTAACCCATAACATTTGTACGCAAAATAATAATAATAATAATTTAACGTCGCAATAAATTGCAGTAAAACCGCGCAGAGCAGTTGTACCGTTTGTCACATTCGAGTAAACAAACATACACACACACACACACACACATACTAAGTATACAATACAATATTATATATATATATATGTGTGTGTATTTTATAATAGTCTTATGTGCATACACTTGTGCAGCACATTCGAGACGACGGTGTATAATTTACAACGCTTATTAAAAGATCTCGCAAGGGAAAACGACCGCCGTGATAGCGCTGTGCAAGTGTATATAATATACATAAATATACACACTCACACGCCTATATATATGATAATGATATAGTGTGCACGGAGAATGATTTTATTGTAACTTGGTCGACATTTTATCGTCGACTTCGTGTTTGTGTGTGTGTGTGTACAGACTATATAAAGATATATGTCTTAATGTTTTGAGATTTACTGCGTAATATAATACAATACAATACACAATGTACACCCTACAGGGTGTGATTCGGCGGCCTAAGTCTTGTAATAAGTGTTCAGCTATTGTATATTTGACTTATCATTTCTTATCACCTGATGAGAACGGTGGCGACCCTTATTATAGGCCAGTTTTAAATGCATGTATAAAAATGTTTTTTCAATGATTTGCCATCAACCAACCAATCAATCAATGTGAACGAATACAAATAATAATAATAATA